ACTACTAAGTTTTACAGAAGAATTATCACTAGTAAACTCAATAGCAACAAACTGGCCTGACTATAAATTTTGATATAGATTAGCTTGTTCAAACTCAAGGATGTCTCTTCTTAGAAAGGTCAGATTAGCTAATTGTACAATGAACATGTCTCCAAGTTCCAACATAAAGAGAAGTCTAGTTTATAAAGATTTATTGCTTATAAAAATGTATATAACTTGGCTATACATGAAAATAATGTAAACTTAAGTCTGAAAAGTAAGTGGGTGGCCATCTACTTTGAATTTTAACTCTTCCAATTTTTAAATCATAACACTGCTGGTAAAGGTGGGTGCATTGTCATGGTGGAACAGGGGAATCCTCACCCAATGTGTTTGCCATATCTTTATTATTTCCTTTACTGACAACTTTTTTATAAGATATTTTATGACTCAGAATATTCAATACTTAACATATTAAGAAAAAAAACACTACAATGACTACTTCTCAATACTACCAAAATAAAACCAAATGTTAGAATACAATAAAACGTTACCAGTGATTCATTAATACATAACAGAACATATCCTTAAATAAAAACTTTTACTAGTACTATCTATAAACTTGCAACACTTCTATCCTGCCCTCAAATATACAAAATTGCAGAATTAAAATTTAATTATCAAAAAATTATTCTTATTTATCATAGTTATTACATTTGATANCCTTTCTTTATTTTGTACAAACAAAATAAATATATTGAAAATATAAAGACAAAAAAAAAATTATAATTTAGAAGTTAATCTAGTGTGATGTTCGTAGCGAGTTGATATGTCGTTCCTCAAACAGAAAACACAATATACTAATCAATTATACACATATAATACAATTAGCTTTTATTTAGCTTGTTGAACTAGTTCTTTTTACTTAGATCCCAACTTACAGGCAATAAAAAGGTTCCCTTGTACATACAACAATTAGACTTCCTGAATGGGGGGGAAAAAAGGTATTCGAGTTGCGACAACGTTATGCATGAGAAGACATATCTATGGCATAACCTACTTACAAACTATAAGGAGAAAAGTAGATAGATAATTAGGAATAGAACAAGGGAAAGAAAGAAGTACCTGGGAATATCCTGCTTGCCACGTGGTCTTGGATGGTTGCCATTTTTGTTAATAGTCCAATTTCTACTGTCTTTCTCAATTCTGTCCTCTGCTTCTTAGTATACATCTCTCGGATTTCTTATCCTTTCGACAATTTCTATTAATTCTTTAATGTGAAACCCTCGATCTCGTCCACAACAATGTCTAGCCTCCAAACTCTCTATCCATTGTTTGGAACTCACTTCAGACCAACCTCTCATGCCAAAATCTCTCTTCCAATCCTCTTTCTTCCATTTTTCTCTCCCTGGGGTCTCCTTACTTTCTTTGTTTCTGGGTGTTACTTCCCCAAAAAGGCAGTCCACCCAAGGGTAGAAAGGGATTAAAGAATTCCCCAAACAGTAAAGACAAAGGGACAAAAAAAATCTTAAATCTAAGGAAAAAAATATTAATATAACTATACAATAATATGGCTGATGGCCACACTAGTATCAAAAACATTTGATTCAGCATGACACAGTCCGACTGGCACGCTTTCAGTTAACCAACATTTCGGATGATTGGCATTCGGATAATCAACACTCTACTGTACACTCAAAATCATTTCAAACTCTTTTGAAGTCCCTCTTCAGTTAAGGTTTGAAAAAAATGATCAAACAAAATATACATAAAAGTTACTTTAAAAGATTTAAATAACCATGAAGATCTTGCAATTAAAGAAACTAATGTGGTGGGGCAGATCTGTCTTCATGATTGCTGGTGTATTTGTGCAGACAGACAAAGATATTGGCATACAAGTTTTTGAAAAAATTTGACATAGATAAGTTCATTAAAGTAAAAGATAATGAAGTTCAGATTAATGAAAAAAGAGAGAAAGATTATTTTTAAGAAAAGTGCAATGTTACCAAGGACACCACCTGGAAAACATTTGAGATCTTCTCACTGCAATATGGCTGCTGTTCATTGGTGTCTATTTTACTGTGAATGACCAATATCCGGCGAATGTTGAGATTCTCCAGTGAATGTCAGCACTCACACAGTCGCTTCGTGTATGTACAAAAAATTTCTCACTTACACCAGCAAATGTCTACGTTCAGCATGCACTGATGGTGATGTTGAATAAAAATATTTTTATTATGTTAAGACAAAAATGAAACTTTTTAATATATCAAAATAGGAGAAAGCTTAAGTAACAGCACATGTAAATAAACTGTTGAACCTAAAATAAACAGTACATTCTTAATCATTAAAGAAAATAATACAATAATAAACTTACACATAAATTATGTGATTAACATTATACAACTTAAACTGTTATGGCACTTTGAATTGCACAAGAGTCCCTTGCTTTTACAACTGCATTTATTTGTGGAACACTTTTTTTGTTCATGTAATGACAGCATGTATAGTCTCGCCCTCCACTTTTCGAATTAGCTGCAACTGCTTCTCTCAGTGATATTTCTTGAGAAGAAATCTCATCTATGGAAAGTAACTTTTCTTTACAAATTATGAACTGATTGCGTTATTACTTGATTACAAACTGGTCTGTTAATGGTATCTTTTATTAACAGATAACCCAAAATGCCTTAGCTGGAATATGAACAGATGGAAGGAGGAATGTGAAATTGATTATTGGAAAATTGTGAGAAAATTTTACATATCATGTTTGATGGAAAATTGGTTAAGAGAAATGGATATTAGGAAGCCACTGTTATATGTAAACACGGGCAAACTCCCTGGGCTTGCTTAGCATGCACCACATGCTTAAGAGAAAGTTTTGACTGTCAATATACTTTTTATATGAGAGCAAATATGCCAATAATAATTTATTCTAACATGTAAACTCTTTTATCATTTGTGTGTGCTTTTACATTGGCAGCTAGTGGCTAGCCATTTTAAGTCAGTGCGATGCTTGTGGAAACTCAATCGCTTGCTCGTGTTGAGGTTTGCCGCAGCAAACAAGTGTGCGTGTATGATGTCATTCGAAGCATTTAACACAGCCAGATTGTATTGAAAGCTTGCAGTACCCAGTCAGCAAACATGTATTGTGTACAGGGGTGGATCTACATAGAGATTAATAGGGCTTAAGCCCTTGGGCCCCCAGCATCAAGGTCCCACAAAATTTGAATTATTATCGTAAATTTTTAATACTTTTTCATTATAATTTATTTTGTATATTTCATGTGTAGATATAATGGGCTTTATAATAGTCCATACTTTTTATTCACACCAAATAACATTTCTGCCTATTGTTTAATGCTAGAGATAGACCTATTATTCTTATTATAAATTTCAGCATAACCAAAAATTTGTCAGGATTTGCCCCTGGCTGTAAGCAATGTATACAATTTCTATAAGATTAGTGCTATCTGTATATTTGAGAAAGGGCATAAGATAGAATGATATTGATAATAGATAAAGAACCAAAAAGTGCTGTGGTTCATTCTTTTGAGGATTGGTTATTTGAAATAAGTTGGAAAAACAAAAAGTTTTATCTTTGTTAATATAAACTTGTAATTTGATATAAAGTGTTATATGTTATCAGAAACATTGCTTGATAGTTATCAGGAAGAGGAAATATATTTAATGAAAGATTTCAATGAAAGAGTAGGTTTGGTTGTTTAGTTATGGCAACACAACACTTGAGTGATCTGCCTAGGGGATGCCTTATGGGAGGTCTTTTTAAGGGAAACTGGCCCCTATTTAAATGTTACAGATGTGGAGAAAATCTGGAAAACTCCACGTGGCCAGCCCATCCAAGCGAGGTGCAAACCCACAATTGAATTCCCAGTGTTCAGGGAACGAAGACTGCTTGGCCACTGATAGGCATAAAGAGTGGAAACTTTGAATGAGATGAATTGGAGAGATGGTATTAATGCCTTTCTGGATTATAATATTTATTGATGTTCTGAAGATAAATGTGTTAATAAAATTGGATTGAAATAAGCAGAATTATGTCAACTGAAAGATCTGATAATTGTAAACAGGAGAATCAGAGAGGATGCACAGGGAAAATATACTTTTTATTTCACACTTAGGTAAAAGTGTAATTATATACTTGAGTATAAATGTTTTGGCAGCAGAAAATTTAAAGAATTTTAATAAAATTGACTTTACTGAATCAGATAATATGATGCTGTGCTTAGAAACCATTGTTAAAGGTTTTAAAAAAGTTTATTGTAGGCAACTGGATAGGATTAATAGAAGATGGAAGAAGGATTGGTTAGAGTTTTCTGTAGGTAAAATGCAAGATATATGCTGGGATAGTCAGTATGATCGTAAGATAACTGAGCAAAAATTGATGACTTAGGTGGTGTTGGGTATAATAGTAAAGTTGAGAGATTGAGATAAAAAGAAATTAGACTCATTTAGACATGGGCCAGAATGGTTTGATAATTTGTGTTTGGAAAAGAAGATTAATATGAAAAAGATAACAGTCAATTTCTAAATAGTTCTAATAAGAATAATTATATAGAAAGGAAGGAATTACAAATAGCAGTATTTATCAGTTATTAAAATGCAAATTTAAGTTGTACTGTTTAATAATAGTCATTAAAACATATAGAACCAACATATAGAACATAGGAAAGAATTAAAAGTGAGGCCTACTCTATATAGACAGGTCTTTGGTGATTTCTGAAAAAACTGCAATAGCAAATATTTGTGGCAAGTAAAGGATTTCCAATTTTTTTTTTAAAGATACTTTTGTAAGTTTAAACAAAAAAAAAACCATTGTTGGATGAGTTCTTAAATGCAATTTAAAATCAGCACAAACCTGCATCCATTTTCAAACTGTGTTTTAAACACAACACTTTATTCATGTAAAATTATAATATTTATCAATAATATACAAAATGCAAAAAATAAATTAAATTAAAATGATATAATAGCTCATAATAGCTTTAAATAACAAAAATTACCTTTCACCAATGTCGTGTTCAATGAGTTTTTGATATAAGTTAATAAAGTAATTTATGTTATCAACTTGAACTACATCATATTCTGTGATGTTTAAGTGAACCCAGTTATCTTTCATTATCAAATGAATAATATTCAGCCAATCACTCTAAAAAAATATTTACCATCAATACAATTTTAGTAGTATAAAACTAAATTTTTTATAATACAGTATAGTATAATATAATATATATTTTACTATTAAACTACACCCATACCTCGCTATACAGCCGCTCTTTATACAGCATTTCGCTATAACGACCCTCTTCAATTAAGGTACGTTTTCAATTTACGGCCTAAAATGTTTCGCTATAACGGCAAAAAAAACTTTTTTCGATGTCGATATATCTACATGTTGCCAATCTTGTGCAAGCACAATCTCGATGCACACTCTTTTCTATTTCCTCTTGTTTACGAGCATTATTCAGTGTGTGCTCATAAAGTGGCTGGTTTAGACTTGTCTGTGAGTGTTTTATGTACATATTTATTACTGATTGTTACACATTAACTGGAAAAATTGGAAACAATTAGGGACATTTTTGGTATGTAAGTACATATGTATGTATGTACAAATTAAAAATTTTTAATATGTATTTTTTTATTAAACTTATTTTATAATTTCATTATTTTTTAGACAAAATGCCACCGAAACGATTATCGACTTTGGAGACTGATAAAAAGAGATGCCGAAAATCAGCCACGCTAGGAACTAAACTAGAAGTATTACGTCGTATAGAAGCTGGAGAGAAAATTGTTGAAATTTGCAAGGCAATGGGACTTGTGAAATCTACCATTCAAACTATTCGCGATAAAAAAGAAGATATTAAAACATATTTGCAATCTGCTGCACCTTTGAATGTCTCGAGATTAAAAACTGGATTATGGAAAAAATGGAAAACTATTGATTATATGGATTGAGGACAATAACAAACGGAGAGTGCCAATGAGTCAAATGACTATCAGGAAAAAGCTTTAAGTATTTTGGAAAATTTGAAGAATGGAGATACCGATGAATCTGCTGAAGATGTCAGATTCCAAGCAAGCCGAGGATGGTTTGAAAAATTTAAAAATAGATTTAATTTGCATAATTTGAAAATGAAAGGTGAAGCAGCTAGCGCCGATGAGGCCGCATCTAAGGAATATCCCAACATTTTAAAGGGAATTATTGAAAGAGGTGGTTATAAACCTGAACAAGTGTTTAAC